ATGTATATATATATGTATATATATGTGTATATATATATGTATATATATGTGTATATATATGTATATATATGTGTATATATATGTATATATGTGTATATATGTGTATATATGTGTATACATATGTGTATACATATGTGTATACATATGTGTATACATATGTGTATACATATGTGTATACATATGTGTACATATGTGTACATATGTGTATATATGTGTATATATATATGTGTATATATGTGTATATGTGTGTATATATGTGTGTGTATATGTGTGTGTATATGTGTGTGTATATGTGTGTGTATATGTGTGTGTATATGTGTGTGTATATATGTGTATATATGTGTATATATGTGTATATATGTGTGTATATATATGTGTATATATATGTGTATATATATATATATGTATATATGTATATATATGTATATATTTATATGTATATATATGTATATATTTATATGTATATATATGTATATATTTATATGTATATATATGTATATATATATATATATGTATGTATATATATATGTATATATATATGTATGTATATATATATATGTATATATATGTGTGTACTATATATATGTATATATATGTGTGTATATATGTGTGTATATATATGTGTGTATATGTATATATAATGTTTTGGGCTAGTTTCTCCGACCGTCCCCAGGAGTGTCCAATCGTCCATTCTTCTTGGATGCACCTGAATTAAAGTAATAATTTTAAAAACAAAATTGTTTTCAACTGACTGAGCTGTTTCATGTTTTGACGTGAAATTCTTTCCCATAAGACAGACCAGTGATCCGAACATACTTTGTATGTAAAGAAAACAAAAAGTGCGATCCCGTTGTTCTGCTCCGTACGATGTGAGTTCATTTGCATATCTTTGAATTGGCCGACTCTTTCACATAACAATATCCCTGGGTTAAGCGAGGTAAAAGGTATTGGGTAACCACATATGTTATGTATATCCTGTACACAACTCCAGGCATCTTAGTTCAAACCGGTTTTTACCCAACTTGGGGTGAAAATTTGCAAGGTTGAGTTAGCTCCGCTTGAGCGATGTTAAAGAACTTCAAGGTTTTGTTGTTTTTAAATCAAATCTTTTGAGCAACAGAATTTCCTGTAACGTATTCCCATTACGATATCCGCATCGCTGCGTGACAAAATTATGCCCTAAAATATTAAAATATGATTAAATTATTCTTCGTGTTAGCGGCATTATGCCATTTAGGTTATATCCTATGAAGAAAAAAATTGTTTAAAAAATAATTAATTTTATAACTAATGCATTGATGAAGTAACTTCCAATATTAAAATGTTTACATTTTGTACAGTGAAAAGAGCGTTCTTCAGCGCCACACCATTCTGTGTTAGAAGAGAAGATTCAAATATGCCCTCGTTAGTTTCGAATGCCCCTGCATATCTCCTTTCAAATTAAAGCGACAGTGTACAGTAAATTGATATTCACGATGCTATGTAGGTTCGTGGCATTCAAACTGTCATCTTGATTTATGACATTTAAAATGTCTAGCGTCCGATAATAGAATCTTCTTAAAAAAGGGGTGTTAGGTTACTGATATAATTCACAAAATTTATATAAAATTCAAATTTCGTCACCTCCACTTCCCCCCCCCCCCCCCCAATGTACATGACGTACTAATGACGACCCCATTATAAGACCCCCTGATCGTTGGCGCCACCGGTCGGTCACGCAACCCTGGCTTCTACATGTACATTGGCAGCCAGGGATGTTCTCTAGCAGTCTAGAGCCTGAACAGCCGCTACCTACATTAGGTATTTAATAGAACGGCTTGGGGAGTAGCTATTTACATTAGGCAAGTAATAATACGGACTGGAGAGTAGCTATTTACATTAGGTAAGTAATTATACTGAATTGAGAGTAGCTATTTACATTAGGTAAGTAATAATACGGACTGGAGAGTAGCTATTTACATTAGGTAAGTAATTATACGGAATGGAGAGTAGCTATTTACATTAGGTAAGTAATTATACGGAATTGAGAGTAGCTATTTACATTAGGTAAGTAATTATACGGAATGGAGAGTAGCTATTTACATTAGGTAAGTAATATACGGAATGGAGAGTCGCTATTTACATTAGGTAAGTAATTATACGGACTGGAGAGTAGCTATTTACATTAGGTAAGTAATATACGGACTGGTGAGTCGCTATTTACATTAGGTAAGTAATTATACGGAATGGAGAGTAGCTATTTACATTAGGTAAGTAATTATACGGAATGGAGAGTAGCTATTTACATTAGGTAAGTAATTATACGGAATGGAGAGTAGCTATTTACATTAGGTAAGTAATATACGGAATGGAGAGTCGCTATTTACATTAGTTAAGTAATTATACGGACTGGAGAGTAGCTTTTTACCTTAGGTAAGTAATATACTGACTGGTGAGTCGCTATTTACATTAGGTAAGTAATTATACGGACTGGAGAGTAGCTATTTACATTAGGTAAGTAATATACGGACTGGTGAGTCGCTATTTACATTAGGTATGTAATACAACGGACTGGAGAGTAGCTATTTACATTAGGTATGTAATACAACGGACTGGAGAGTAGCTATTTACATTAGGTAAGTAATATACGGACTGGTGAGTCGCTATTTACATTAGGTATGTAATACAACGGACTGGAGAGTAGCTATTTACATTAGGTATGTAATACAACGGACTGGAGAGTAGCTATTTACATTAGGTAAGTAATATACGGACTGGTGAGTCGCTATTTACATTAGGTATGTAATACAACGGACTGGAGAGTAGCTATTTACATTAGGTAAGTAATATACGGACTGGTGAGTCGCTATTTACATTAGGTACGTATTACAACGGACTGGAGCTATTTAGCTACCGACTAATACGTTAAGTGGGGGGAAAAAATTTAATAAAATTTTTCTGAATATTACCCAGCATAATTTATTTGATGTAAAATATTTTTTGGATATCGTTTTACGGATAAATCACTAAAAAAGGTTAAGTTGCTGGGCAATTACTTGTAGATGTATAGGGAATTATATAATTATTAAATGATTATTATTATTATTATTATAAAACATTAGCCTATCAATAAAAAAATTGTATAAAATTAATTTGTATAGCTAATGCATTGATAAAAGTAATTTTCCCAACATTAAAATGTTTACATTTGGTAAATTGAAATTTTGTTCTCTCCACCCCACACCCTTCTAGCGTTATATTTGGATAGATGGAAATTGTGAAACACGCAGTTTTTCTTCCAGACTTTTCTCAAGGGGGGGGGGGGTCACTTGATATTTAGGGGGGGGGGGGGGGGGCGGACAACATTTTCCGTAAAAGTATGTTTTCTATATAAATTCCATTTCGTTCGGGGGGGGGGGGGTACACTTTCTTCGGAGGGATGGGGGTGGGAGCCCCGACCCCACCCCCACCTACCCAAAGAGATGTATGGAAGAAACTCTTGATTCACGCCAGAGTATTGTATAATACATAATTTTTCATTAGAGACTTCTATTATAACCACATTGCTAATGGCCAGTGTTTCTTCCAGATTTTTTTCTCGGGGGGGGGGGGGGGGGGCACTATTTTCGGGGGGTGGGGGGGGGGGAGTGGGGTCAACATTTTACGGGGGGTGGTGGCGGACACTGGTAAAAATGTTTTCTATATAAATTCCATTTCGTTCGGGGGGTGGGGGGTTGGGCGGTAGACTTGTTTGGGAAGGCGGGGGGTGGGGGCGTTTTGATTTTTTTTAAACGAGTTGGTGTGTCTCCATTTTACCATTTCCATTCCTTCCTGCTAATCAGCCTGTATGAAGAAATCACACGACAGTCTCTAGTATAGTAGCCTATATAGCAACTTAGCTTATTCAATTCACTAAAGTGGAAGTTAAAAAGACGAGCTCATAAGTAAATGCCTACCTTCTGATTTGTCAACTTAATTTAATTTTAGAGAGAAAAATGCACGCATCTTAAAAGTTTTTATAAAATCGTAATTAATTTAGATTTAATGATAGGTAATTTAAATGAAACAAATGGATGGAATTTTTTTGTTATTTTCCCCGCCCATTCGATGACGTCACGGCAGCATTAGATGCGTGCACGTGCTAGAGCTGACAGACGGATCACGCTAGTGATATGAAATGTTTGTTCCATGCCCATTGCATTGTTCCGACTTTTTTATCATTTCCTTTTTTTTTTGGGTTTTGTTCCGCGCCCGTGTGTTCTGTGGGGTGACGCGGTGACCTGGCTATTGTCAGAGACCCCCCCCCCCCCGGGCCCCGGACCCCCCAAACCGACATGCCAGATTTTTTGTGTAACAGTTGGGTGCTGACCAACACAAGATTGGGATGGGATTTGCCGGGATGGTCTTAGCTGAGGAATACAATTTCGGTGTTTGATTTTCTGGCTTTTAGGTGGCATTTGCATGAAATGGTATTATTTTCAAGTGCTTTTCGTAAGGGCGTTGTTTCAAGTGGATTTTCTTTTTGCGTGGTAGGCCTATATGTGTCAAGCAGTTTTTACGTGGTATATACTTCAATTGATTTTTGTAAATGATTTGTTTCAAGTAATTTTCGCGGGGTGTATTCTGCAAGTGATTTTTCATAAGTTTTTTTATTCAAGTGGAGTTTATGCGTGATTTTTACGCGGATTTTTAACATTGAATGTTTGGTTATTCCTAAAAACTTTGACTATTCCTAAAATGTTTGGCTATCCTTAAAATGTTTGACTCTTCCTAAAATGTTTGGCTCTTCCTAAAATGTTTGGCTCTTTCTAAAATGTTTCACTCTTCCTAAAATGTTTGGCTCTTCCTAAAATGTTTGGCTCTTCCTAAAATGTTTGGCTCTTCCTAAAATGTTTGGCTCTTCCTAAAATGTTTGACTATTCCTAAGATGTTTGGCAACTCATAAAATGGTTGGCCTGTTCTAAAATGTTTGGCTATTATTAGATGTTTGGCTATTCTTAAAATATTTTGCTACTCTCAAAATGCTTTGATGCTCCAAAAATGTTTGGTTATTCCTAAATCTTTAAGCCTTTTTTTTTGCTATTTCTAAAACGTTTGTCCACTCCTAACATGTTTGGCATTCTTGAAATAATTTCCTATTATTAAAATGTTATTCCAAAATTTTTAAAGCTATTTATTTGGCTATTTCTAAAACTTTTGGCTACTTCTAAAATGTTAGGCCGTTCCTAAAATGTTGGGCTATTCTTAAAATGTATGACTTGTCTTAAAATATTTGGCTACTCCTAAAATGTTTTGGTCCTAAAATGTTTGGCTATTCCTAAAAATGTTTGGCTTTTACTAAAAATGTTTGGCTATTCTTAAAATGTTTGGCTACTCCTTAAAATATTTGCTTCTAAAATGTTTGGCTATTCCTAAAATGTTTGGGTATTCCTTAATATTTTGTAAACTACAGCAATATACATTATTCCCACTTCCGCGTTCCAGAGTGTTACTTAAAATAGAATGTGCCGGTTTTCTTGCATCGCTAACTTTGGTATAGACAATGCTGACAAAAGGCCAGTGGCCAGACTTTTGAGGCCATCATAGCGGGCCAACCTAAAACATTTGTTTTATCTAACCACGATGTCTGCGGGTCCTTCTCAGGGGAATCGCAATGTTCTTCTGCCTGTTCCTAGGTAAAATAAAATTACAAACTTGTGTTAACCTTAATTTTTTGTTTCGATTCTTATCTAAACTTTAAAGTTGCAAAAAAAAAAAAAAAATAATTAAGTTATTGTTTTATATTTCCTCCTCTGCCTGATAGCGTAGTCGTTGCTATTTTACCTAACTTGAATTTTAAAGTGAACAATTAAAACCTTGTATGACACATCCTTCGTTTATTTAACAAGATTTAAGTATTATTATTATTATTTTTTTTAATTTGGAAAACGTTTATTCATTTTATTTTACTAACGAAAAGTAATATGCTATGTTTAAAAATTTGTGTTTAAATATATTGACTTCGTTTTTGAACATTTCAATTGTTTAGTTTTAAAACTGCGGCAGTTTGTTTAGGCATCACTTTAGTTCCTCTTTAGACTCCATCTATTACTACACCAGTCCTGTCAAAATATAGGCCTGAATCTCAACAAAATAATAGTTCTGATATTCTGCCGCATCAACAAAATAGTTCTGACATCCTTCTGCATCTACGAAATAGTTATATTTTGCCACATCGACAAAAAATCTTTTGATTTTCAGCCGCATATGTACATACTTCAGTCTGCCAACCCTCTTGTAATCAATTAGTACTACACGTTGTAACTGAGCGTGTCACCTTCCCCCGCCCCACCCTAACAGTTTAGCATTTTTGGTTTGGTATCAACCCTGCTATTCTATTATATTAACTGCATAAGCCCTTGGTTTAACATTACATTTTTCTTTTTGGTGTCACCCTTTAATGCCCCCCCCCCCCCCCCCCACCTCCGTTCCTGTGCAGTCAACATTCCCATTCCCTCCTTTTGACGCCACTATTCTCTTTTGACACCTCCCATTTTATCGCACTGCCATGGTATAAGCCTACATATAAACACAGTTATCCTCTCCTGTCTGTAGAATAAGTTCCCCGACCCTCGGGCGCCGGAAGTCTTCAGACAGACGTGGGTCGGTCAGCACCAGCATGGCCAGTCCCAAGAAATTTGCCAAGGTCAAAAACCTGCTGGACGAGAGAAGTTACGTGGACACGCTGCACCAGAAGGCGATAACGGTAGGTTGGTTGTGTTGGTGGTTGGATCTGTTGTGGTTCGGAGTTGGACAAGCTAGAAATAGTCATAAAATCTGTCTTGGGTTTTAACTTGTGTTTTTAATGTGGTTGTGTTTGGAGTTTTAAAAAGCCGATTTAATGTTGTAGGTTTGGGAGAGTTAAAACTTGATTGTACTCCTAATGTGATGCGTCTACATTACCCCTTCCCCCGTCAATAACTCTCCCTCCCCGGACATCATCCCCCCCCCCCCCCACCACCACCAGCCATTGCCATAAGATCTTTAAACCACTCTGGTTTAAATATAAAAAAACAAAAACATTTACGATCCTTTTGGTTTAGGGGGCTCTTGAAATCACTTCATTTGCTAATTAAAACCAAATACTCATTCAGAAATAAAACATACCATACCCTCGGATTGACCATCAGATTGATTATATAATCCAACATCCTCACACTGACCAAAATCCTCACACTGACCAAAATCCTCACACTGACCAACATCATCACACTGACCAACATTCTCACATCGACCAACATTCTCACACTGACCAACATTCTCACACTACATCTCACACTGACCAACATTCTCACACTGACCAACATTCTCACACTGACCAACATTCTCACACTGACCAACATTCTCACACTGACCAACATTCTCACACTGACCAACATTCTCACACTGACCAACATTCTCACACTGACCAACATTCTCACACTGACCAACATTCTCACACTGACCAACATTCTCACACTGACCAACATTCTCACACTGACCAACATTCTCACACTGACCAACATTCTCACACTGACCAACATTCTCACACTGACCAACATTCTCACACTGACCAACATTCTCACACTGACCAACATTCTCACACTGACCAACATTCTCACACTGACCAACATTCTCACACTGACCAACATTCTCACACTGACCAACATTCTCACACGGACCAACATTCTCACACGGACCAACATTCTCACACGGACCAACATTCTCACACGGACCAACATTCTCACACGGACCAACAATCTCACACGGACCAACAATCTCACACGGACCAACAATCTCACACGGACCAACATTCTCACACGGACCAACATTCTCACATTGACCAACATTCTCACATTGACCAACATTCTCACATTGACCAACATTCTCACACTGACCAACATTCTCACACTGACCAACATTCTCACACTGACCAACATTCTCACACTGACCAACATTCTCACACTGACCAACATTCTCACACGGACCAACATTCTCACACGGACCAACATTCTCACACGGACCAACATTCTCACACGGACCAACATTCTCACACGGACCAACATTCTCACACGGACCAACATTCTCACACGGACCAACATTCTCACACGGACCAACATTCTCACACGGACAAACATTCTCACACGGACAAACATTCTCAAACTGACCAACATTCTCACACTGACCAACATTCTCACACTGACCAACATTCTCACACTGACCAACATTCTCACACTGACCAACATTCTCACACTGACCAACATTCTCACACTGACCAACATTCTCACACTGACCAACATTCTCACACTGACCAACATTCTCACACTGACCAACATTCTCACACTGACCAACATTCTCACACTGACCAACATTCTCACACTGACCAACATTCTCACACTGACCAACATTCTCACACTGACCAACAGCACAGCATCGTGATCCAGCACCATACACTAAACATACATCTAACACCCTAATCTCACAATACAACCAGTTACCACATCGCACTTTTGTACAACCAACCCTCATCTTTGACATGTGAGTTTCATGTCCTTCATTCGGGAAAACCCAGAGCTCCGTGTGTGTGGGGGGGGGGGGAGAAGAGGGGGAGGGGGGCGTATTGACCATGTCACAACAAGAGCAGGCTTAAAGCACGGGTCGTTGTGTAGTTGTAGGCCCCATGAGCAGACGATTGCCACGCTGTGTCTGCTACTGGCTTACATGTCACGCCATCCTGGTGTAGTTCATACCTGGGCAAGTGGAGGGGGTGGGGGGAGGGTTGATCAATATACCTGTGATTCTGGATAAGGGGGGGGGGCGTAGACGGACAGACGAGCGTTTGATTTGTAACTTCGAAACTCCAGAGTTCGGACCTCGGGGCAATTGAGACTAGATAGCTGGGGCAAGTACCGGCTCTTTAGCCAGACACAGGACCGGCTCTTCAGCCGGACACAGGACCGGCTCTTCAGACGGAGACAGGACCGGTTCGTTAGAAGGGGGCAAGAGGACCGATTCGTTAGCTGGGGACAGGACCGGTTCGTTAGAAGGGGACAGGACCGGTTCGTTAGCAGGGGACAGGACCGGTTCGTTAGAAGGGGCAAGAGGACCGGTTCGTTAGCCGGAGACAGGACCGGTTCGTTAGCCGGGTACAGGACCGGTTCGTTAGCTGGGGAAATGATCTGATTGTTAGCCGGGGACAGGACCGGTTTCGTTAGCTGGTAACAGCTACCTATCTGGTGCCTTGCAGACTTGGCTTGGTCGGACATAGGCTAGGGCATTAAATGAAAGAAAAAAGCTTAAACCGGAGTCAACGAGCCATACGGCCCATAACATGTTAGCACGCAATGTTCAATTGTGTTGGGGGATATCCCTATCGATATTAAAATTAAGACCAAAGAAGGATGAGATCACTTTAAAAGATGTAAACATGCGCAAGGCGCCTTCATTGAAAGATTGTTTTTTTTTTTTTAAATACGGTATGTTGTAGACGATTGCACTGCAAAATAAACGGCAACCAATAGGGGCATGCGAATTAAATGGTAGTAAAAAGGGGCATGCGATACAACAATTAGAGGCACATGAACCGGTGATGGCATCACACGGTCGGATGGTAGAGCTTGCGAATGTTGACTTAAATGTCTCGAGTTCGTACCCTGAGCTGGTGGTCACTGAGTCCACCCAGCTCTGATGGGTACCTGACTCACGTTAGGGAAAGTAAAAGCGGCTGGGCATAGTGCTGACCAAACTATCTCTTGAAATGCTGAGATTTACTTTACAAGAATTAAAGAGCATTAAATACGGGACTTATGAAACAGATAGACAGGGGCACATGAAACAGAGACAGATAGAGGCTCATAAAACAGAGATAGACAGGGGCACTTGAAACAGGGGCACATGAAACAGATTAGGGGCACATGAAACAGATTAGGGGCACATGAAACAGATTAGGGGCACATGAAACAGATTAGGGGCACATGAAACAGATTAGGGGCACATGAAACAGATTAGGGGCACATGAAACAGATTAGGGGCACATGAAACAGATTAGGGGCACATGAAACAGATTAGGGGCACATGAAACAGATTAGGGGCACATGAAACAGATTAGGGGCACATGAAACAGATTAGGGGCACATGAAACAGATTAGGGGCACATGAAACAGATTAGGGGCACATGAAACAGATTAGGGGCACATGAAACAGAAATAGGAACATGAAACAGAAATAGGAACATGAAACAGAAATAGGAACATGAAACAGAAATAGGAACATGAAACAGAAATAGGAACATGAAACAGAAATAGGAACATGAAACAGAAATAGGAACATGAAACAGAAATAGGAACATGAAACAGAAATAGGAACATGAAACAGAAATAGGAACATGAAACAGAAATAGGAACATGAAACAGAAATAGGAACATGAAACAGAAATAGGAACATGAAACAGAAATAGGAACATGAAACAGAAATAGGAACATGAAACAGAAATAGCAACATGAAACAGAAATAGTATCATGAAACAGAGATAGAGAGGGGCACATGAAACAGAGATAGAGAGGGGCACATGAAATAGAGATAGATAGGGGCACATGAAACAGATAGCTAGGCGCACATGAAACAGATAGGGGCACATGAAACAGATAGCTAGGCGCACATGAAACAGATAGGGGCACATGAAACAGAGATAGAGAGGGGCACATGAAACAGAGATAGATAGGGACACTTGAAACATAAATAGATAGGATCTTCAAATCGTACTTATGTAACACAAGTTGTCAATAGACTCAACAAGTTATTTTTGTATGAGGCTTTCACAATTTATTGGCACGCTGTGCAAAGGAAGTAGGTGAAATGGGACGGCATTTTGTTTAGTCGGTGACCTTCATTTTGGGGCGACCTTCATTGAGTGGGTTGACTTTGGCATTCCATTGAAAGCAGTGTTGAGACTGGGTCTACCATAGAGTGTGATGTGCTCCAGTGGACCCCAATGATCATAAATAGGTTGCAGGCCTTTTTTTGCAGGCCTCTTTTTTTTTAGGTTGGGAGTAGTTTTCACATCGCTAAGTAGGGATGTTTTATGGTTGGTTTAATTGATGTGGGTGTGTTGGTATAATGAGCTGATTCACAACTAGGTGTGTGCTAAAATAACGCGGATTTGAGGGTATGGTGCTGGTGCTAAATGTTTCCAATTAGAGCTGGGTGCTAGTGCTATAGACCTTTGAAAGGGGAGGTGGGTGCTAGTGATATGGACCTTTGAAAGGAGAGGTGGGTGCTAGTGATATGGACCTTTGAAAGGAGAGGTGGGTGCTAGTGCTATGGACCTTTGAAAGGAGAGGTGGGTGCTAGTGCTATAGACCTTTGAAAGGGGAGGTGGGTGCTAGTGTTATGGACCTTTGAAAGGAGAGGTGGGTGCTAGTGCTATAGACCTTTGAAAGGAGAGGTGGTTGCTAGTGCTATAGACCTTTGAAAGGAGAGGTGGGTGCTAGTGCTATAGACCTTTGAAAGGAGAGGTGGGTGCTAGTGCTATGGACCTTTGAAAAGAGAGGTTTGTACTAATGCAAAAGATCTTTAAAAGGAGAGGTGGGTGCTAGTGCGAAAGACCTTTGAAATGAGAGGTGGGTGCTGTTGCAAAAGACCTTTGAAATGAGGTGGGTGTTGAGCTAAATACTCCCAATGGCCTGACGCCCAGAGGATAAAAAAAACTTTTGTATCACACACGTTAATATTTCACAAACTAGACTTGTATTAAAACATTGTTACATCACCCCCCTCCCCCACCCCTCTACCATTTTCCAGACGGTGCCGTGTAACAGTGAGCGATGTATGGGCTCCCTCATGTCCATGCAGGCCCACCGGGCACCCGGGGCCCCAAGGTCTACAGAAGAGCTTTTGATCCACGCCAAAGACTTCATGGAACAGTACTACACCTCCATCAAAAAGTTGGTCTTTTAAGATATCTTTTGCTCACCTAGACTTGTATGTTGTCATTATTTCTTGTTGAACGTCACAAAGACTTTATGGAACAGTACTATATCTTCAACTAGAGTACAACATCTCCATCAAAATGTTGGTCTTTTAAGATATCTTTTACTTACCTTGTATAAATGTTGTCATTAGTTATCTTTTGGTTATCTTTTGTTGAACGCCAACTTGGCAAATTGAATGGGGATTTTAGTTATAAAATATGGGACGGTGTGGCCTAGCGGTAGAGCGCTAGCTAACCCAAAAGTCTCGAGTTCGAATCCGGGTTCAAGTCAGTGTAACGTCCCTTAGTCTACCCAGCTCTGATGGGTAGCTAACTCACTTTATGGAAAGTAAAGGCGGCTGGGCATAGTGCTGACCACATTATTCCTTTCATATGCCGAAGTAAAGAAACATATGAAATCTACTTCATGTGCCCAATGGATCGCTAGGTCTAAAGAGGAATCTTTTGTTATGTTACTTTTATATTTTCTTTATTTAGTGTTATCGATTATTGTTAGAAGAAGTTATCGGTTACTTTAACCTGTCCCACAGAAACAACACACCCGCCCACTTCAAGAGGTTGACGGAGATCCAGGAATCTGTGGAGCGGACTGGCACCTACGAGCTGACCACAGCAGAGCTGACCTTTGGTGCCAAGTTGGGCTGGAGGAACGCGCCCAGGTGTATCGGCAGGATACAGTGGTCCAAGTTACAGGTCAGTGGTCCAAACTACAGGGCAGTTGTGGTCTATGCTAAAGGTCAGTGGTCCATGTTACAGTTCAGTGGTCCCAGCTACAGGTCAGTGGTCCAGGCTACAGGTCAGTGGTCCAAGCTACGGATCAGTGGTCCAAACTACAGGTCAGTTGTGGTCCAAACTACAGGTCAGTTGTGGTTCAAGCTACAGGTCAGTTGTGGTCCCAGCTACAGGTCAGTGGTCCAAGCTACAGGTCAGTGGTCAAAGCTACAGGTCAGTGGTCCAGGCTACAGGTCAGTTGTGGTCCCAGCTACAGGTCAGTTGTGGTCCAAGCTACAGGTCAGTGGTCAAAGCTACAGGTCAGTGGTCCAAGCTACAGGTCAGTTGTGGTCCAAGCTACAGGTCAGTTGTGGTCCAAGCTACGGATCAGTGGTCCAAACTACAGGTCAGTTGTGGTCCAAACTACAGGTCAGTTGTGGTCCCAGCTACAGGTCAGTGGTCCAAGCTACAGGTCAGTGGTCCCAGCTACGGATCAGTGGTCCAAACTACAGGTCAGTTGTGGTCCCAGCTACAGGTCAGTTGTGGTCCCAGCTACAGGTCAGTGGTCCAGGCTACAGGTCAGTTGTGGTCCAAACTTCAGGTCAGTTGTGGTCCAAGCTACAGGTCAGTTGTGGTCCCAGCTACAGGTCAGTTGTGGTCCAAACTACAGGTCAGTTGTGGTCCCAGCTACAGGTCAGTTGTGGTCCCAGCTACAGGTCAGTGGTCCAAGCTACGGATCAGTGGTCCAAACTACAGGTCAGTTGTGGTCCAAACTACAGGTCAGTTGTGGTCCAGGCTACAGGTCAGTTGTGGTCCAGGCTACAGGTCAGTTGTGGTCCAAACTACAGGTCAGTTGTGGTCCAAACTACAGGTCAGTTGTGGTCCAAGCTACAGGTCAGTTGTGGTCCAAGCTACAGGTCAGTTGTGGTCCAGGCTACAGGTCAGTTGTGGTTCAAGCTACAGGTCAGTTGTGGTCCCAGCTACAGGTCAGTGGTCCAAGCTACAGGTCAGTGGTCAAAGCTACAGGTCAGTGGTCCAGGCTACAGGTCAGTTGTGGTCCCAGCTACAGGTCAGTTGTGGTCCAAGCTACGGATCAGTGGTCCAAACTACAGGTCAGTTGTGGTCCCAGCTACAGGTCAGTTGTGGTCCCAGCTACAGGTCAGTGGTCCCAGCTACGGATCAGTGGTCCAAACTACAGGTCAGTTGTGGTCCCAGCTACAGGTCAGTTGTGGTCCCAGCTACAGGTCAGTGGTCCAGGCTACAGGTCAGTTGTGGTCCAAACTTCAGGTCAGTTGTGGTCCAAGCTACAGGTCAGTTGTGGTCCCAGCTACAGGTCAGTGGTCCAAGCTACGGATCAGTGGTCCAAACTACAGGTCAGTTGTGGTCCCAGCTACAGGTCAGTTGTGGTCCCAGCTACAGGTCAGTGGTCCAGGCTACAGGTCAGTTGTGGTCCAAACTTCAGGTCAGTTGTGGTCCAAGCTACAGGTCAGTTGTGGTCCAGGCTACAGGTCAGTTGTGGTCCAAGCTACAGTTTAGTGGTCCCTTTCTATATGTCTGTACAGTGTCTGCCTGTGACCTATGTAGGTAGAGGATTAGATATAATAACAGCTTTTAAATTGACGCCATTTTTCAAGATTCGGACATGACTCACCTTTATAGCTGATCGCAAGGTTTTTAACATACACAATTTCACTATTCGCAGGTTTTTAACATACACAATTTCACTATTCGCAGGCTTTTGACATACACAATTTCACTATTCGCAGGTTTTTGACATACACAATTTCACTATTCGCAGGCTTTTGACATACACAATTTCACTATTCGCGGGCTTTTGACATACGCAATTTCACTATTCGCAGGCTTTTGACATACACAATTTCACTGTTCGCAGTTTTTTAACATACACAGTTTCACTGTTCGCAGGTTTTTGACGCCCGCCACATCTTGACAGCCAGGGGCATGTACGAGGCGCTGTGTAACCACATCAAGTACGCCACAAACAAGGGAAACTTAAGGTGAGAACAGCTTACTTTGGACGTCTTGTTAAAGCTAAATTAGGAACAGCTTACTTTGTTGTCTTAGTTAAATTAGGAACAGCTTACTTTGTTGTCTTAGTTAAATTAGGAACAGCTTACTTTATTGTCTTAGTTAAATTAGGAACAGCTTACTTTATTGTCTTAGTTAAATTAGGAACAGCTTACTTTATTGTCTTAGTTAAATTAGGAACAGCTTACTTTATTGTCTTAGTTAAATTAGGAGCAGCTTACTTTGTTGTCTTAGTTAAACTAGGAACAGCTTAACTCAACTACTTGTTGTAGTTAATTAATTTGAAAAAGCGTCATACTTAGTTTTAAGTTCCTGATAAAACGATGCTGCAAAATAGAATTGACACTACTCTTAGTAAAATGTAAACTCTACTGGTTTTGTTATTAAAACATACACCCTAGATCTACTGTTACAGCCATCATGATACGTATAGTTTTCTTACACAGTTAAAAAAATTTTTTGTCTTTGTTAAATCCTTACGTCTGCCATGCAACTTCATCTGTATTTGCTAGGTCTTTCTCACATAACATTTTGACCTTATTAGGTCAGCAATAACTGTACACATTTTACAATTGCTAGGTCCGCCATCACGATTTTCCCCCAACGTAAAGATGGACGCCGGGACTTCCGAGTCTGGAACTCTCAGCTGATCCGTTACGCCGGCTACAAGATGGAGGACGGTCGTATCGTCGGTGACCCGGCTAACGTCGACTTGACGGAGGTAACACGGATATAGGGATCGTGCAGGGGTCCTAAAGAACACTAATATAAGGGTCCTAAAGAACACCAATATAGGGGTCGTGCAGGGGTCCTAAAGAATACTAATATAAGGGTCCTAAAGAACACCATTATAGGGGTCGTGCAGGGGTCCTAAAACACCAATTTAGGGGTCGTGCAGGGGTCCTAAAACAACAATTTAGGGGTCCTAAAGAACACTAATATAGGGGTCGTGCAGGGGTCCTAAAAACACCAATATAGGGGTCGTGTAGGGTCCTAAAGATCACTAATATAGAGGTCCTAAAGAACACCAATATAGGGGTCGTGCAGGGGTCCTAAAGAACACTAATATAAGGGTCCTAAAGAACACCAATATAGGGGTCGTGCAGGGGTCCTAAAGAATACTAATATAAGGGTCCTAAAGAACACCATTATAGGGGTCGTGCAGGGGTCCTAAAACACCAATTTAGGGGTCCTAAAGAACACTAATATAGGGGTCGTGCAGGGGTCCTAAAGAACACCAATATAGGTGTCGTGCAGGGGTCCTAAAGAACACCAATATAGGGGTCGTGCAGGGGTCCTAAAGAACACCAATATAGGGGTCGTGCAGGGGAGAGGTAGAGGTAGCAAAATTAAGAACTATCCTTCAGCTAGCTGTTGTCCGTAAATTGTTGTCATGGACTGCTGCTTTTCAAGGGGCAGATAAATATCTTTTAGATATCTCGAGCTACTGATGGTGTTTTAAATTTAAAGCAAATATTTTTAGTCGTGTTGACTTCATAAATTAGGAATAACTAAAAAGTAGAACATAAAACAAATATAATAAACCTTTATAAATGGTTTTTACATATTTTTTTTACTTTCTCGTATATACGAAGTATAGAGAAAGTCTTGTAATCGTGCAAAAAAAAAATCGAGATTTTTGCAAATCTCGACGTTTTGCATCTCACTGATACGGAAAAACATAATTTTGCAATCTTGTCCGTATGTCTGTGTGTCTGTGTGTGTGTGTGTGTGTGTGTCCGTGTGTAAACACGATAACTTGAGTACCGTTACAGCTAGGTTGATGAAATTTCATATATAAGTATTTAATCAAAATCGTAGATCCGTATCAACTTTTGAGCGATTTCCGATAACCGGAAGTGGTACTTTTCCTACTTTGAATTTTTCAAAAGCCTATAACTTGAGTACTATTTCAGATAGATAAATGAAATTTCATACGTAAGTAAAAGATCTAATTCTCTACCTTCTATTAAATTTTGAGTCATTTCCGTTGACTGGAAGTAGTACTTTACGCTACTTCCGATTTCTCAAAAAACTAATGTAAATTTTAAAAGTAATAATAATATTGCGCACTATTATGCGCTTTTTTATTTCGCGTTCACTTGGTGTGCAATTAATTTGTCTACGAGATTTTATTCTATTTTTAAAACTTTAAGTATTTAAAATGGATTAAAAATCATGTCTATAGCCCGAGTTCCCATCCCCTGTTATTTTATATAAGAATATTCGAGAAAGTTTAGGGGAGATCACTCCCGGTTTATTTACGGTTGTTTTGAAGTATATTTTTAAAATAGGCGATGAAGTTGTCCCATTTGAGTAAAGTAGTTATATGTGTTTTATATCGTGTGTTGTTCCAGCAATGTGTGAAGCTGGGATGGAAGCCCAAGTACGGAATGTTTGATATTCTCCCCTTGGTCCTGTCTGCCGCGGGTTCGGATCCCGAGTGGTTCGAGATTCCCCCCGAGCTTGTGTTAGAAGTGAACATCCGCCATCCAAAGTAAGTTTCGTGGTCTCTTTCATGCTACCCTCTTATCAGCTGGCGAATACTGTTAATACATCTTCCCAATTTATGCCAGGTACCCATGGTTTGCTGACCTCGGGCTCAAGTGGTACGCCTTACCCGCTGTTTCAGCCATGCTGTTTGACTGTGGAGGTCTGGAATTCCCGGCATGCCCGTTTAACGGCTGGTACATGGGCACGGAAATTGGAGCCCGCGATTTCTGCGACAGCAACAGATACAACATTATGGAGGTAGCTTTTTCTTGTGTGCTTTGTTGGAAGAGTTATGGAGGTAACTTTTTCTTGTGCGCTTTGTTGGAAGAGTTATGGAGGTAACTTTTTCTTGTGCGCTTTGTTAGAAGAGTTATGGAGGTAACTTTTTCTTGTGCGCTTTGTTGGAAGAGTTATGGAGGTAACTTTTTCTTGTGCGCTTTGTTGGAAGAGTTATGGAGGTAACTTTTTCTTGTGCGCTTTGTTGGAAGAGTTATGGAGGTAACTTTTTCTTGTGCGCTTTGTTGGAAGAGTTATGGAGGTAACTTTTTCTTGTGCGCTTTGTTGGAAGAGTTATGGAGGTAACTTTTTCTTGTGCGCTTTGTTGGAAGAGTTATGGAGGTAACTTTTTCTTGTGCGCTTTGTTGGAAGAGTTATGGAGGTAACTTTTTCTTGTGCGCTTTGTTGGAAGAGTTATGGAGGTAACTTTTTCTTGTGCGCTTTGTTGGAAGAGTTCCCTATGTTAGGATTCGAAACTAAGCCTGCGTTGCTATCGATTTGGTCTGACTTGGTCTGACCTCCCCTCCCCCCCCCCTACTTGTACTTACAATTAAACCATAAGTTTAGCTATACTAGTGTATATACAAGATATCAGGTAAGCTTTTATTAAGGACTACAGTATTAGTGTCTTCATTTTGCCGATAATCATGCGCGTACGTAGGGGTCGAGTTGGTAAAGCTCGTGGTTGCAAAACTGAAAAGTCGAGTTCGAACCCTCAGGCAGATGAGGCTCGTTAGCTGGGGACAGACACTTTTCTAGGAGAGACAACTCCAAAATCAAACAACTGCTGCCTTGTAGTTTGTTGTTGGTTGGATAAAGGCTATTCAAAAAGAAAAGCAGGCCGAAATCGAAGTCAATGGCCCTCAATGGCGCATAACCAGTTGACACGTATACTTAATTGTGTTGGAGGGGATCCCTTCCAACACTTAAATTAAGAACGAAGAAAAAGAAGATGCACGTACGTAACTCTAAAACTAGACCTAGACTTTTTTACGTTTTGCTTCCCTAGACCACTAGGTCTTATATCATCTAATTTTCCCCGTAGACTACCCGTGAATCCGTCCCGGATAGTAGCGCACAAGAATGGTAGTCCGGGGGTCTTGAGTTCGGATCTCGCATTTTCATGTTCGTTTGAAATAATAACGGAAGGGCTAGTCGGGTGGTAGAGCGTACGCCTAATAACCCGAAAGTCCTGAGTTCGGATCCCGGTACTTCCCTGAATCCATTCAGTTCTGATGGGTACCTGACTCACATAAAGAAAGTAAAGGCGGCTGGGCATCGTGCTGACTGCACTTTTCCTTCATAAGCCGAGGTAGCTTCACCTGTCGTATGATCCTTCATCTTTGAAAGCGTTCTTTTTTCTTTTTTTTTAGAAAGAGCTATAAAAGCTTTATTATGAATTGAAAGACCAAATGTGCCATCAATTCAACTTTTATTATACCACACCCTTTACACAATTTAACGCTTAGAGTTTCTTCCAGGCACCTCTTCGGGGCGGGGGGGGGGGGGGGGGGGGGACATCGCCCCCCCCCCCCCCCCCTCTGAAAATAGTCTAACTCCCCCCAACGAGATGGAATTTATATAGTAAACATATACTTTTACTAGTGTCCGCCCCCCCCCCCCGGAAAATCTTGACCGCCCCTTCCCCCCCCCCCCCCCCCCCGAAAATATCAAGTGCCCCCCCCCCCCCCCGGAGAAAAAAGTCTGGAAGAAACACTGTTAACGCTATACAACAAAATGCGAATGCACCCCTACCCTCCTTGTGTAATATACATGAACATTATCACCTGAGGGAACTACTATATCCGTTATTACTGCTATGACTCTATCGATACTGACAGAGTGGTATTTGGACGCGGAAGCAGCATTGAAATAACACTTTTGCCAGTATTGTTATTTTCAGTAACAACGCTCGCTTAACAACGCCTCTTGATATCTACTTTAACATTAAACATTACAGAAATTGCTCAAAGATTCTAAATCTATATTTGTACTCCTATAAATGTTTACGTTCGACCCATCTCATATTATCACGTGACTGTAAATAACATCCTAGATGGCGCTAAAGTGTCTGTTCCATTCCGAAGTAATCGAATAGCGCATGTGGATTTAGGTATCGATCCCGGGGCACTGGATACCGCAAGCGGCACGTTCGTTACCCCTTTAAAGCCATGAGCAGTCTGACTACTTGTGGGTCAAGTCGATTACTTCAATATGGCGAGTACTTGTCCAGTATCGATGTGCGCATTCCGCAACTCATATCCAGCTCATCAAATCAATTTTCGTTTTCCAAGACGAAATCAATTTTTCGGAATAAAAAAAAATTGAAATTGTCTTTAGTGTGCTAAATAAGAAAAAAATATTAGAAAATATGTTGCAATGAAAATAAATGGTGTTTGAGTAAATGATATGGGGACATAAGCTGAAACACTACACGTTGAACTCATGTTTCCGTAAATCGGCGAAAATTCGGTAACCCCCCCCCCCCCCCCCCCCCCCCCTTTTCCCCCCTCCACTTACGGATCACCCAGCAATTAACGAAACTGTACTGGCACCAATTAAGCTAGTTTTTTAATTGGTGTCGCTACCGTAGCTGTGCCTACCAAAATGCCAACTTTAATTACTGCTAAAGTCTCAATGAGGTCATAATGGAATCAGATTAGTCCTCACAGTACCGCAGTAAGTAGATAATTATCACCCAACTGAAAATTTATGCGTGAAAATTTGAGCACCATATTCGGCTAAAACTGCCGTCAATGTTGGTTAAAATATTCAGTACAATAATGGACGCTAACGTAATTTTCTAATTAAATCACAACCATCCATTGTAGTGTTTCTGTTCTTTGTGCTGTATAGCCTAGTACTCTCGACGAATGTTGTTAGCGACATGAAATATAGTCAGGATAATTCGGATTTTTCTTAGCTTAAAACTTGAGTATACTGAACCCGATACCCTATCAATCAGAGCAACATTGAGTCATTTTCGTAGATAAACACTCGATTTTTTTTTTATGTAAATGTGTGAAAGCGGTTTTAAGGCCGTCACCAACAGAACAATAACCAATCTCTGCCAGAACCCCTTCCACAACACCTCATGTCCCCTACTCGAAACCCTCCTCTCCCCTACCACAACCCCTCATTTCCCTTCTGTCCCCTAGTACAACCCCTCATGTCCCCTACCAGAACTCCTTCTGTCCCCTAGTACAACCCCTCATGTCCCCTAACAGAACCCCTTCTGTCCCCCCTAACAGAACCCCTTCTGTCCCCTAGTACAACCCCTCATGTCCCCTAACAGAACCCCTTCTGTCCCCCCTACCAGAACTCCTTCTGTCCCCTAGTACAACCCCTCATGTCCCATAACAGAACCCCTTCTGTCCCCCCCTACCAGAACTCCTTCTGTCCCCTAGTACAACCCCTCATGTCCCCTAACAGAACCCCTTCTGTCCCCCCCCTACCAGAACTCCTTCTGTCCCCTAGTACAACCCCTCATGTCCCCTACCAGAACCCCTTCTGTCCCCTAGTACAACCCCTCATGTCCCCTAACAGAACCCCTTCTGTCCCCCCTACCAGAACTCCTTCTGTCCCCTAGTACAACCCCTCATGTCCCCTAACAGAACCCCTTCTGTCCCCCCTACCAGAACTCCTTCTGTCCCCTAGTACAACCCCTCATGTCCCCTACCAGAACCCCTTCTGTCCCCTAGTACAACCCCTCATGTCCCCTAACAGAACCCCTTCTGTCCCCTAGTACAACCCCTCATGTCCCCTAACAGAACCCCTTCTGTCCCCCCTACCAGAACTCCTTCTGTCCCCTAGTACAACCCCTCATGTCCCCTAACAGAACCCCTTCTGTCCCCCCTACCAGAACTCCTTCTGTCCCCTAGTACAACCCCTCATGTCCCCTAACAGAACCCCTTCTGTCCCCCCTACCAGAACTCCTTCTGTCCCCTAGTACAACCCCTCATGTCCCCTACCAGAACCCCTTCTGTCCCCTAGTACAACCCCTCATGTCCCCTAACAGAACCCCTTCTGTCCCCCCTACCAGAACTCCTTCTGTCCCCTAGTACAACCCCTCATGTCCCCTACCAGAACCCCTTCTGTCCCCCCTACCAGAACTCCTTCTGTCCCCTAGTACAACACCTCATGTCCCCTACCAGAACCCCTTCTGTCCCCTAGTACAACCCCTCATGTCCCCTAACAGAACCCCTTCTGTCCCCCCTACCAGAACTCCTTCTGTCCCCTAGTACAACCCCTCATGTCCCCTACCAGAACCCCTTCTGTCCCCCCTACCAGAACTCCTTCTGTCCCCTAGTACAACCCCTCATGTCCCCTAACAGAACCCCTTCTGTCCCCCCTACCAGAACTCCTTCTGTCCCCTAGTACAACCCCTCATGTCCCCTAACAGAACCCCTTCTGTCCCCCCTACCAGAACTCCTTCTGTCCCCTAGTACAACCCCTCATGTCCCCTACCAGAACCCCTCATGTCCCCTAACAGAACCCCTTCTGTCCCCCCTACCAGAACTCCTTCTGTCCCCTAGTACAACCCCTCATGTCCCCTAACAGAGCCCCTTCTGTTTCCCCTACCAGAACCCCTTCTGTCCCCTAGTACAACCCCTCATGTCCCCTAACAGAACCCCTTCTGTCCCCCCTACCAGAACTCCTTCTGTCCCCTAGTACAACCCCTCATGTCCCCTAACAGAACCCCTTCTGTCCCCTAGTACAACCCCTCATGTCCCCTAACAGAACCCCTTCTGTCCCCCCTACCAGAACTCCTTCTGTCCCCTAGTACAACCCCTCATGTCCCCTAACAGAACCCCTTCTGTCCCCCCTACCAGAACTCCTTCTGTCCCCTAGTACAACCCCTCATGTCCCCTAACAGAACCCCTTCTGTCCCCTGCCACAACCCCGCCCATTATCCCCCCCCCCCCCTCTAGAACTTTGATCCAACCGTCACGGCTGTAAATCCGACGTCTGCTGCCAGCGAC